AGTTTTTCCACGGATCTGACGATTCCGGACCCGGATACCTTCAAATTCCAGGATATCCGGAATCGTTCCACGCCTACATATAATATTTAAGTTTATTAAATTGATTAAAAGCACATTATAGTAGTACAACACACAAACTGAAATTTATCAGGGTTAGGTCTAAGAGAAAGCGCCACCGTACTGTAGCAAACTCGAAGTTTTTATCGATCTAGGACCGGCGGCTTTCGCAGCGTTGGTGCCGGCTCCCTCTGGTTTATTCCTCCACGCTTTCTTTTCGTTCAAATCAAATTCATAGGTTTTTAATAGAATCTCTGATCTCGTCGGATCTGTACTCGTCGGCTCCGAGAGATCTGTTTGGAGGTTGAAGATCGGCCAGTTTCTGCTTGTTTTAGCGCGGGGTTGGCTTCGGTTCGGCTTCATCGGCCTTGAGTTTGCTCTGCTTTGGATTCCGTGTCGGTCTTCTTTTGCCGGGGATTGATGATGCTATGATGATTGGTTTGGATTCGACTATGACGTATCTCTGATGGGGGTGAGATCTGAGGTCGCCGTCTTCGTCAGGTGGAGAGATGGTGCTTTTGGGTCTTAGGTCCATTTAGGGGTTAGGTGTTGTTATGGGCTTCGGTTTGGGCTTTTTAGAGCTTGATGCTGAGGTTTGTTTCTCCGCTCCCTATCTACACTTTTGGCTCGGGCTCTTGTTCTGTAGGGTTTGGAGTCTGGCTGAGTAGTCGTTTCGGTTGGGTTGTGTCGGGTCAAGCTTCTCTTTTACTGCGTTATCAGTTTGGATAATCTAGATCGTGTCGGTGGTCATAAACCGCAGGTCTTTGCTCTTAGTGTTGTTCATGGGRCMTATCMATGGTCARAWATCGTATGGTTCTTTAGTTTGTRGGTTTCCGMCTTAGWAGGTKTATGTGGTGATGATTTTAGCCTGGTTGTGGTATGGTTTAAGTGATGTTGGTGGACTTTAAATCTATGGCTTGATCTTGTCTTTTTGAGCTTCTCTGGAGGTTAGGTTTTTCTGGGGTCTCGATTCCGGATTACTAGTGATACCTTGGAGTTTATGAGGCCATCTCTGTACTCCGATTTGATACGTCCTCTTCGTCATTGTCGTGTTTATTAAAGTACGAATAAAGCTTTGGGTGGTTTGATGAAGATGAAGATGTTCTTGGGGCAGGTCTTCTCCGTCTAACGGTTAAGTTTCCTTGTTCTCCGTTTTTTTTTCCGAATAATTCTTCTAGCGGCGATACATATCAACAGTTTTTCCTCAATGATATTGGGTTGAGTATCAATGAAGAAACCTCGGAGCGGCTTGGATTTTTTTTCCTTTGTTATGACTCTTCTTTGTCTTTGGTTTTCATTGTTATAGCTTTCAAAGTTTTATTCTATTTTCTGAACTAAGCGGTGTGTAAGTGATGGAGCAGTGGAATGTGCTTATGTCTTAGAGGCTCTCCTATCACGGGATTGTGTATTATTATTTGTATGTCACTTTCAGGTTATCAATAATTCATCAGATGGAAAAATAAAAAAAAGTAGTACTACACACAAAGTCCTTCACCAAACAACACGAAACTTTATTAATCAAACCAAATTAACAAAAAAAAAAGATTTGGGGGAATTTCAATTCTTAATTAAGCTTAAGGAGCAGGTTTCAATGTGTTGCCAACATCAATCACAAATCGATACCTAACGTCGGCCTTCTCGAGCCTTTCCATGGCGGTGCTGACATAATCCGCAGAGATAAGCTCAATATCCGCCGTGATGCTGTGTTTTCCGGCCAAATCCATCATATCTTGAGTCTCTTTTATCCCTCCTATCATACTTCCCACCACCATCTTCCTCCCTATGCATATGACACAACCACATAACACAATTTCTATTTTTTTTATCGACTAGACACTTAAAAATGTATTTAGATTGGTGATTAAAATATTGACAAATACATATGTCCCTATATTCAATTACAATATTAAGTATAAATTTGTAGCTAAATAGCTACATCATATCGCGTAAATTTAGTATCTAAATAATCAGTATTCTACGTGTATATTATATTTTTTTGCACATTCATATGCCGGATTTGCCTGAAAATTATATCCTTTTTTGTAGTGGACATATATATAAGCTTTTGAATTAAAA